TCTTTTCATTAGGAAATGTCTATTTGAGAGAAAAAATTTATGCATCACATGTTATTGTTTTAAACTAATTTTAACTAATTTATTAATGAATATAAATGAATAAAGTTTATTTTGTATTTTGAACATGATGGAGTAATTATTTCATTAGTATGAATATATATATTTGATGTAAAAGTTTATAGATTACTGAGAAAATAAAATAGACAGGTTAATTATATACCCACGTGTTATCTAGATTTTTAATAAGTACTCCTCTGGTCTTCGATATATTACCTAATTATTAAGTTAATTTTGGTCCTATGTCTTATATTTATCAATTTTTTTCTAAATTACTCTCATGGATATCCCTCAACTGTAATCAATAAATGAGGAAGAAAAAGATATTAAGGAAGATGATTATAGTATTTTAGAAAAAATATGTCATATTTCTTATAATTAATTAACTTACCTAACTTCCTTAATCTAATCAAATTAGTTAAAGAGGTTTTATATTAAGAACCAGATGAGTAATAGAAAAAGTTAATCAAAATTTTGTAATTAGAAGATTAATTATACAAAGGTATCTAATCAGGGTCTACGTTCTTGGGTGCTACTTATCTTCAATAAATGCAACTCTTGCTTGATAATGTGCCATATATCTTTAATTATGTGCAAATATATGATTAAAGATAGATTATACATAATTAAAAAAGTTGTACCTAACAAAATATTGTATCTAAATCCTTCAGTAAATTTTGAGTACTTTTTGTGCAATGAATTCTTTAACCAGAAAATTTTCACCAATTTTTTATTTTCAATAAATCAATCCATCATGGGCGATGATGACGTGGAATAACATTATATTCTCCAGCTATATCATATAGTGGTTTGACAAATAATTACGAATCATGATGGTAATAATTACGTGTCATGGTTTATTACATAAAAACGGTAGTACTCTCCTGGTAAAAAAAAAAAAAAAAACGGTAGTACTCAACAATTATAGGAATGTATGCGATGATGATTGGCTCAGCAGACGATCGGTTCAGAACAAAGCAATTCGCAAAAAAAAAAAAATCATATTTATTTTTTATTTTTCCAGGGCAAAACTCGCGGATGTAACAGTAAATTCGCTTTTTGGCCCAAAAAAATTATATTCACTTTACATATTTAACTTTCAATTATTAAGTTAATATAATTTTTGATGCTTTAAAATTTAAATTTGCACGAGTTTTAATTTTAATTTTAATTTTTTAAATTTTAGACTTTGAGTTTTAATTCCGAAAAAGACAAGATATTTCGTATTTTTATTAAATTATAAGACTCAATATTTTAGATAAAAAGAAATTTGATAAACAAAATTTATATTTAAAACTAAAATAAAGTAAATTTGAAACACTAAAAATTATATAAACTGTTAATAATTTTATATTTTCCTATTGTACGGCCAGGTGCAGTGTTTTTTTTCCCGTCACAAATAAAAAAATTGTTTGAGTCGGGGAATAAAATTTAGGGAAAATGACAAAAAAAGACCCCCAAATTACTAAAATTACGCAGAGGTCACCTGAAAAAGCAAAATTACCATGAAGAACCAAGTCTCATATTGTAAATATGAAATCGTGACGAAATGTCTGAAATACCCCTCGGTCAAATTGTAATTTGGTCTACTGAAATTGTCATCCGCTAAAATAAACTTGTTATTTTCTATAGTCAACTTGTCATTTGGCATATCTTCAATCAAGTTGTGATTTGATCTACTGAAGTTGTTATCCGTTAAAGTGAATTTGTTATTTCCTATAGTCAACTTGTCATTTGACTGAGGGGTATTTCACACATTTCATCAAGATTTCATATTTACAATATGAGACTGGGTCCCTCATGGTAATTTTCCTTATTCAGGTGACCTCTGCGTAATTTCAGTAATTCAGGGGTCTTTATTTGTGATTTTCCCTAAAATTTATGTGATTAAAACTTAACTTAATTATTTAAGGTTGTTTTATTTAAATAATAATAAGCATCCTATTCCCTAACAATCGTTTGACGTGCATGGCTTAATCATTTGATAAGACTGATTATATTCCTGAATAAAAATATTTTAATGAAAAAGCTTTAAACCCGCGTTTCAAATAAACAAACTAGATTTTTTTTTCAGTTAAAAAAAAATAAACAAACTAGATTTTGAGGTTTAATTTGGATATTATATATAAATGTTCATAAAAAAATTACTTTTTTGGGTTAGATGACTACACAAATCTTCGATTAATTCCAGTTCAACCACAGTTTATTTTTTAATAACCTGATGATCTATCATTAAAAAAGAGTTAAGCCCCACTTTCACGAACAGGTCAGCATAATAATTAAATATTATTTAAAAATCTTGGTTAATTAAATAACCAGTAGAAACTACGTAACCACCAAGCCGAGAAATGTGACCTTTTGCTTACACTCAAATAAACTTTAAAAAGAAAAATAATAATAATAAATGATATCCAATGCAATGCAGCCTTTTTCAATCAATTCAAATCATCTAGCTTTATTATAATATGATTCGATTTAGTTTGAAGTTGTATTAATTTTAGGGATTTTCCCCCAGGCGTGATAATTTTATCAGTTCAATAATTAAATATTTTTGTGGTAATTTTTTTTGAGTCATAAAACATATATACTCTGGTCCTAATAAACCTTTAAAACTTAACTCAGAAAAATTTATTTATTAAAAGAACATTATGGTAGTAATATCTACAAAAGGAAAACAATCTTTGCATAAAAATTCTCGAAAAATATCCCAAAGTTACAAAAGTTTTTCCCAAATCATTATCCATAATTAATGAGTAATGTGATTGAAACGGGAAAAAAAGAACAAAACAAAAATGAATTTTTCATCTATAAATTTCCAAATAGAGAATTTTGAAATTAAATGAAAACCGGAAAGGCAGAATTGCCAATAGATTTGTCATTTGTCCTCGCGGCGGATGTGTAGCCATCATGGCCGCGTGGAGAGAAAGCTAAGTGCGAAGCGTGAAAGTATTATACTTTAGGACCCCACTTTTAATGAAGGTGGCATATTTGGTCCAATGATTTTAAGGTGATTTTCATTTGAATCCTTTATCTTTGCCTTTCTCAAAAGCTAAAGAAAAATGATCATTTACATAATAAAAAGCTATACTCCTCTTATTCTTAATATATGATCTAATTTGAGAGCTTATGTTATTCTTATATGAAAGATCTATTTCAGATGCTTATCAATTTTTTTTCAAATTAATATTATTGATATTCTCTCAATAATAATTAAGGAGTAGATGGAGGGGGAAATAAAAAAAGATGATTATAATATTTTAGAAAAAAATTATCATATTAACTAATTTAACTAATATTATAATCAACTTAAATTAATTAATTAAGTATTATTTTATTTTTTTGACTAAAGGTGAGGATGTGAAAATACTTGTGTTTGAAATTTGTAACAGTTGGGAAAAATTTATTAGGCACAACATATTTATTTTGTCACATTTCATAAACCGAGCAATGGAAAGAAACAAAATTAGGAAGTCAAAATAGTTTTAAGATAGCCTATGAATTATAGTGTGTTATAAATGGTTGTATTTTGTGAGAAGTACTGGTTAAGAAAATAGGAGGTCAAGGTAGATTCCGCACATTATAAAATGTTGTGCCGAAGATTTCCCTCAATTGATACAAATTTGGGTATATGTATTTTCATGTCTACAATTTTAGTGAAATGAAATCTCAATGTATTTTTGTCATTTTTGACCAATGCTTGCTGATGTGCTTCTATTATGAACGGAAGATTTTAGCAACTCTTTTTTTTTTTTTTAACTGACTAGTAAAACTGTACCCTTGTAGAATATTTATGAGTATTTTTGTCCCTAACTCATTTACATGTGATAACCACATTTTCCCCCCTCACATTCCACAATATTACTTTCAATCTTTAATATAAAAGTTGGCTGATTAATTTAATTAGATTTAAAAAATTATTTAAGTTAATTACTTGTATAAATAAGTGTTATCTTTCTTAAAATATTTTTACTAATTAAGTATCATTTGATGAAACATTTAATATATGCTATTAATATAAATATTAGTTTAAAAAATAGATAAATATGATAGACAAAATAGATTAGGATTTTTTATTTAAAACCAAATTAAAAATCAAAATAATTCTTTTATTAAAACCGGAGTTAGTATCATGTTTCTATTAAGGTTAGAGTATTTTGCCCTCTTTTTCGAAATGTCGTGAGTATTTTTTGTTATGAGAAATGATCGAAACATATCTGTTTCTTAACCTTAAAAATTTTATTTTATTTATTGTATTTCAATAAATATATAATATGAAATTATTATTTATAAGCTACAGATATTATAATTCATCTCAGGTTTTACATTTTATATAAAAATAGTATATAAATTAAAATAAAAAATAATAACATGACAACACCCTGTGTAACACAATGCATTTGGAAAGAAAGAAAAGCTGTCTCAGGCACATAAACAAAAGTCAGAAAGAAATGAGTCAATACAATAAGATCTTGAGAGAATTACAATGAAGTCCCAAGTAATTAAAAAACAAGTCCCAGAAGTTGTCATTCTCACTGTAGGACTTTTAATATTACAGGCTGCTCAGTTGTTACTTGAGACTTTTTAGTGATTATTTCTCTTATGTGGGACTTGAATGTAATTCTCCCTAAGATCTTATTTAAGACGATCATTGAGTTAGCGAAAAATGAAAATAACTATAGGTTTTAATATTTATTAACATATAAAAATTGGGGACCCCAGGCGTAATTTCTTATTTTTCCGAAAAGAAGAGAGGGAGGGAGAGAGTGTGTATGGATAAGGGCGTCGTCTCACGGACTCACATTCGTGCATCTTTATTCACGCTCGCACTTTCTCTTTTTCCCTCTAATATTATAATTTTTTCAATTTGCAATTCAATAATGGTTTTTGGCGACGCGACTCGCTCCTGTGTCCACGTGTCATCCAACTGCTCCGTCTTCGCTTTCAAGAACAGCATAGAAGCAACACGAAGCACCCCCCTATAGCCACAGTGTCTGACAGGGAAAGCCCACTACTCTTAGAGTGAGAGCGAGGGAGGCTAGAGAGAGAAAGTATAGGGGTTTCGGAAACCCGGATGAATCTTTCTTCTGGGGTTTTTGGGGAGAGCGATTCTGGTGCGTGAGTGATATTGTTTCCGCGCGATTCTTTTGGATTAATTTTTGGGGCCGTCTTTGATTTTTGACTGGGAAAAAAAATTCTGTTTTTCGGGTTTTCTGGGAGATGTACATAGCTTCCATGCGAAAGTCTTTCAAGGACTCCTTGAAAGTGCTTGAAGCTGATATCCAGCATGCCAATACCCTGTAAGGATTTTTTTTTTTAATTTGTTGATTTTTTTTATATTATTTTTAGCTTAATGATGATGATGATTCCTGTAATAAATTGTTTATCCTGTTCGAATGTAAAGGCGACTACTATTCTTTCAAGGTTAGAACCCCTTGAAAATTTTCCCAATTTTTTCCGTTGATGATTGGCCGATAAGGTATTGTTTTGGGGTTCATTTTCTGGGTGCTTGTATTTGCTTTCCCTTTCGGTCAGCTGGAAGCATTCAAGTAAAGTACCCAAAAAAAAAAAAGTAGACGGAATATGCAATTTTAACTCTTCTGTCACAGTTGTCTCTCTCTTGTTCGAAAATTTAATACTTGATAATCCTAAAGCTAAACCCGTTGTAAGCACGTTCTGAAAGTTTCCTTTTGGAATCCCTGTTCTGGTCGTGTGATCAATACCTACTAGATCGTGAATATCATGGACTCACTGACTTCTCATACTCTTGTGCCTTTGTATTGCCTCTTGTCAGAAGTGCCCGCTTGAAAATGCGAAGCCTGAAGCTCTGCGTCCTCTTTTGGGGCAATGGCTGTAGGATTGGGTCTTTGTTCCCCTCTCACTCTGTAGCAGTTAGGAGTGGAGGCTTGTAAGCTCTAGATAACATGCCAATTGCCACTCTTGGGTGTTGGTTGCTTCTTTCTTTCTTTCTTTCACTTCTATTTTGGGTTAATCTCCCCCGCCTTGATTCTAATAGGGCACCACCGTTCTCATTGCCTATCAAATTAGGTGATTATGGCCAGGAGACACTGTTTTCAATTGCATTATCTTATAACTTTGTGGCTTACTTTTTTACTTTATTTCGTGTTCCTTTTAATTTGTGTCACATTGTCTTCGTTGACATGGGATGCGTGGTTCTCTGAATAATTTACCTGGCTAACAAGCATTTCATTGCCATCTCCTGCTATATTGATAGACTGCCTACCTAGGGTTTTTCATACTTTTTTTTCTTCTTCCAAATTTAAATGTGTTTGTGACGAGTCTTTAGTGAAATTTCTTGGAGAATTTACGAATGTAACCTTTGGAAGGCGACTTTTTCCTTCCATCCAGACACTCGCAATATTTGTATCAGAATGGAGATTAATGTTTGACCATTCTAATGTATGTGCAGGGCATCAGATTTTCCGAGGGAGTATGATGGTGCATGCCTTCAGATGAGAATGTCATATAGTCCAGCTGCACACCTGTTTCTTTTTTTAGTGCAATGGACGGACTGTAATCTTGCGGGAGCCCTAGGGCTGCTAAGAATCCTAATTTACAAGGTACTTTTTATTTGCTTCTTCATATTGAAATTAAGGGCTTGGAGTTTGGACAATGTCACAATTTTTGTGTCATGCTGAAGGTTTACGTGGATGGGACAACCACCATGTCTACGCATGAAAGAAAAGCAAGTATTAGAGAATTCTATGGTATCTCAATCCCTTTCTATTGAGATCTGAAACGTTCATTTCCTTTTAGCCTCTTGTAGTTGCTGATTTATGGGATTGTAACTTTGATCAGCGGTCATATATCCATCTTTATTGCAACTTCAGAAAGGGGTCACTGATACAGAGGATAAAAAACAAAAGGCTGTATGCATGGAGCGGTATCGAAAGAGAGATGATGAGGAACACAGGCCGTCTTCAGATGTTGACATTGAAAGAGATGAAGAATGCGGTATATGCATGGAGATGAATAGTAAGATCGTGCTGCCCAACTGCAACCATGCAATGTGCTTGAAATGCTACCGTGAATGGTACATCTCTCCCTCTTCCTCCCTCTCTGTGTGTCTCTGTGTGTGTGTGGGGGGGGGGGGTTGGTAGCATTTATCTTTTCTCAGTTATGACTTTAAGAAATGAGAATTATGATGCAAGTAGAATGTAGTTTGCTCTGACAGTTTGCATTTCAAGCACTTGAGTCAAGCAAATTGGGTGTTATCTTATATGCTTTAATATTATCCTCTTGGCTGATTAGCACTTGAGTCAAGTAAATTTTGAATTTAATTGTGAAGGCGCTGGCTTGAATGTGGGATCAATGAGTGTTTTTCTAAGTTAATCCTGAGCATGAAATCTGAGCATTCAAGGGGAAAAAATTCAGTTGTTAGAGGAGGATGCGTTTGCATCTTTCAAATCTTCTCGAGGTGAAAATTTGATTGTGCATGGATGTTTGATTGATCTGTATGGTGACTTTTCCATGGCCTGATAGCTGGCCTTTCCCCCCTCTTTCCTGAAGATACATTGTGTGACTTGCCATGTCTTAGTTTTCTAATGCTTGACAAACTTGATTAAATTCTCTGGATTGGGGACGTTTTAATTTCTTATGTATCTGAATCATTTGCTGCCCTTGTATGAAATTTAGTGTTTTGGGATGCAAAGAAGGTACAATCACTTATGAGGTTTCTAAAAGCCAGAGTTTTTCTGTAGATTGGATTCGATTTTTAATTTTTAATTATTAATTCCCAAGGGATGATAATGAATTGTCTTTACGCGTTGCCAATTGGTCAAAGTATGGCATGTGCAGACTCTGATTTCTGATTGGTTGGAGAAAAATGCATTTGGTGTTGGCCCCGTTTTGATGCTTCATTAGATCACTTGTGAGCCTTGCGTTTCTTGATGATTGTTGTTGCATAAACTGGTGGGGCTATATCAGTGAGTCAGCTGTTTTATTGCACAGGTTATTATATGCATCTTACCGTGTTATATGAAACAGCTTTTTCTGCATGTATCCATGTTGGTGGGTATATCCCAAATTCGTATGGACAGATCCGAGCATTACGTATAGTAATGTGCTAAAACTTAATCCTATATGCTTGACTCCTTAGAAATTTATCTCAATCTTCTCGAGACATGAATTGCCATACTTTAGGGACTACACTTAAATAATCTCAATGCACATGATGTTAACTTGGAACTGGCTGAAAAAAATGAGCACTTTGGTATGCTGTTGCAGGAGAACAAGGTCACAGTCATGCCCCTTCTGCAGGGACAGCCTCAAGAGGGTGAACTCGTGCGATCTCTGGGTATTCACTGATAGTAGAGACGTAATAGACATGGCGACGGTGACGAGGGAGAATCTTAGAAGGCTTTTCCTGTACATAGACAAGTTGCCTCTGATTGTTCCAGACTCCCTTTTTGACCCCTATGACTCTCACCTCAGATAAACTGATTGCAGCCAACACATGGATCTTACCGGCTCTCACCTTGGATGAGTAGTTCCCTCTGAAACTAGCTGCAAGAAAGTCTGAAGTTTATCCGGCTCCTGCTAAATTTAGCCATATAATATATAATATATAGAGTTTGCAGTACTACTTGCTTCCCGCTTCTACCGTGAGAAGTACCCGCCCGATTTGTTGTTGTGGGTTGGTGGTGAAGTCTGAGAATGGTAAAATTGTATGTAGCTCATTTGTATATCCCTCTGTACAGACTGGATGAATCACTTGTTCATTTGAGATTTGGCACATTCCCTGTTATCCTCACTAAAATTTAATTGTGGATATCTTGGCAGACACATTCTTTCCTGACACATCTCACACTTGAATGTGTTCACCAGAATATATATAGTTCAATTCCTTTGGTGTTAAGGCTGGTTTATGCATGGTCCCTTTTATTTGAGATGCTTAATAAGTGCTCCATGTTGAGCTTTATCTGTGTTTGTTTTTTTTTGGTCCTCTTCCTTTTCATTGAGTAAGAATTGCTAGAACAAGAATGCGTAGATGTTGATACCAGGCGGTTTCCTGGGGTTTTATCTATGTTGGTTAGTTCGGGTTTTTTTTTTTTTTGACTGAAAACTGATGACTATATTAATAATACAAATTAAAATTACAACTTAAAGTAAAGACTGGCTGTCCCTTCATCCAAGATCCGCCCCAAAATCAAAAGGTGGAGGTTGATTAATGCAAAAATTTCCTATTAAACTATGAACTAACTTTGCCATGTAGTCAGCCTCTTTAACGAGCGTTCTATTAACATGTTTGAACCCAACTTTTAAGTTGAGTTTTTACTTGTCAAAATCGTGGTTATGACAGGTTCTGATCGTTTTCTCAGCACAAAGGGCTTCCCCCCCCCCCCAGTCTAGATGTTGCTCATGTTTTGACCACTAAAGTCCAATCATAGTTTCCACGACAAGATTAGCATACAACGAGGTTTCAATTGAACAAAAAAAAATTATTAGAACTTTTTTATAGTTTTTTTTAGGACCTCATTGTAACTCTCCCATATTTTCATT